CGCCGAGGTGATCGCTAGATCAGGGTGTATGATAATGCACGGAAATCGTGATAATGCATGGAAATCAACTTACGAAACTGACCCATCCCGGATGACGACGGACCCAGATGTCTGTCAAGGTGAACGAGGATACGTATGTATTGTATGTAAGAATATGGATTGGATAAAGAAAGATGTTAACGTAGGAACACATAGTTGCCAAGAAGAAAACAATTTTTCTCTCAGCGACATGGAGAATCCCGAGTCAATGGGGCCTGGTTTATGTCTTTACGACCAGCCCCCCATGACTCGCGGTCCAGAGCTGACAAAGTTCGATTCGTTGACGACCTGAGACCGATATAGACCATTTCCCTAAGAGCTACACCCTTTTCTTGGCACCAGTCCCACTGTGCATAATGAACTTCGACCAAATCCGCCATAGTGCTTTTGCTTGTTAATCCCTCACGATGTCCCTTCATTAGATTTAAGATATATTTATTAAGAGCTAAGGTGAGCACAAGTTTCATCAGAGAGTACTCATCGACCGATTTCTAGGAAGTTGTCAAGATTCGAGGATTATTGACAGATGGGATGTTTAGATGCCAGGCTAGGGTGACAAGATAGCAATTCGACTGAAAAGGCTATCCACGCTTAAGGACACTTCCCTATTAGACTTTGAGAAACTTCTCAGCATTCTCTCTAACCCAGAACGAGGTATAATACTCATTTGACAAGCAAAACTCTGTCAATTTTACTGTCAAGCTGATAATTGCACCAACTTTCACATGGCTATTCTACCATCTTCCAGGATTCTCTATGACTGTCTTACTTCTCCATTCTATGCCTCTATAACTGTTCTTCTGTATCACTTCGCTTTATAATATGGTCGACTAGGTACTACCTAACCTAACCTAAACATCCACCGAAATCCGCTTATCAGTCGCACCGATACACGTATTTCTAGCAATGTCTAGGAATAATCCTAAGGCAGGGTACTAGGGAAGTGTATACCTATGCTAAGAAAGGAATTCTGAAACTCAGTACTCTGTAACCTAACCTTCAAAAGACACCGTGATGATCAACCAATGCACAGTGACCGCCGTTCATCTAAAAACCTAGGAATCCATCGAGGAGGCTATCGGAGGGGGTACCGGTATCAGAGGCTACCCCAGAAGGGGTAGCCAAGTCGATCGGAAATTTAGCGGCAGGTCGGAACGCAAAAGATACAAAAATGAAGATGTTCGGGAACGGGATTTCGTCAGGCCGACAAAGCTCCCTCTGGCGCGACTCCTGACGGAGGAAACAAAAAGGCCAGGGGGTACGTGTACGTGCACACTTACAGCCACCGGCGTCGAGCCGATATAATTCAATATAATGTAGGGCCCAGCGACATTATCTGCTCTCGTGCAGTCAGCTCGACTCGGGCCCCGATTAATCTCGACTCGATCTCAACAAAGCGCGGATTTATGTTCTCCGCGCCGCCCGGCCTTAAGTCCCGCGCTGGAACCAGTCTTTCCCTTTTCACCCTGCCCTCCTTCTTTCTCCCCTTTCCGCGGAGAATCTCGTGTACCGTTCTTATATACCACCGACCCTTCCGCTAACCCCTGCCAAACACCTTTTCACCACGTGGCCCGACTTAGACCCTCCAGGGGCCACTGGTCGTCCAGTTTTGGGGGTCTCTGTTATTCGGGGTTAAGTTTGGTGACTTGGTCTCGAGTCTTCCAGGCTTGTTCGGGGTACGAGAAAGGGGTAGTCGAGATTTTTATGACAGCTCATTGGCATCTCGCTTTGGGCAGTTGTCTAGGAGACAATTTTGGATTTATTTGCTATGGTTGTTTCATTTTTCAAAGTCTCTTGGTACTTCTAACGAATTATAGAAAACAATAATAATAATAGTGAATGAAAATTTGAAGGTATCGTATAACAGAAATTAGGATCCAAATTTGTGCAGCAAAGATAGAGCTTTCTCTCTTTAGAGATAATTTAAAGATAACGAACTATAATTTCAGGAAAATATCCAGCACTAATCCAGCACCTACTAGAATGTTCAATTAAAAAACAATCGCGTCTGGTTGCTATAAAAAGCAATCTCTTGCGCCGAAGTTCAGCGAGTGGCAGTTGACAGCGTTTAGGTAGAATTGTTCTAATTCTACGACGTGGAGGTTAAAAATCATTCAGCAATCCAGCAATTGAACTTACAAAAGAGGAGTTCCAAGTGTGATCAGTAACAATATATGTAATAAAATATATAATCGACTTTTCAAACTAACTCTCGCGAAACCTCCATCAAACGACTGTCATTGATTTTCTCTCTGACACTCTGACTCCCATTCTTACTACATGTGGCAAAGTGAACGAAAATTCTAGAAGCATTTACAGGGTCTTGTTCCACAGTCAAACGAGAATACTCATCGATACCACGATACGAAGGTTTGCTGTTGGCAGAGTCTTGCGAGGTCAGAGGGCGAAGCGAAGGTTCGATCGGAAAATGGCGCAGGCCTGGGGGCGAGATACGATTTTTGAATCGGCGCAACGTCGAATTACAAGCAAATCCATAATGGACCATGAGATCGGGACGATGAATCCTCGTTCGGCGTCGTTATGCGCTCCACGTTCCAGCGTCCGTGCTCAATCGGTAATTGCGGCAAAGACGAACGACACTACCGCGGTACCTGCGTGCCCTCGTGCGATATTTCGGGTCGACCAGGTCTGCCTGACCATTGCCTGCTTCTTCTCGCTCCTCGGATTCCGTGTCACCAGTCAGGGACACCCGTCTGCCTTGTATCTCGACTGATCGAACGATCCAGGCAACAGCTGTCTAGGGGAGTCTTCGTGGTAGCTCTGTCTTCGTCGAATCTTCATTTTAGGTTTTGGGTGCTTTATTCAGATTGATTTGGGTACTTCTGGGCTTCATACTCATGAAGCTATTTTGGTTTTGCCTTTGAATGATTAGTCTAATAGTTGACTAGAGTGGTCTTCGTGGTAGCTCTGTCTTCGTTGAATCTTCATTTTGAGTTTGGAATATTTATTTTATTTCATTTTTAATTGGCAATTGGAACGATTGATTTGGGCACTTGGGAAACTATTTTGCTTTTGTCTTTGGACGACTAGCATAACAGTTGACTAGAGTAGTCTTCATCACAGCTCTGTCTTCGTCGAATTTTCATTTTTGGTTTTCTGTACTGTGTTTAATTTTTAATTAATAATTGGAACGATTAACTTGGGTATTTTTGAAGCTATTTTGGTTCTGTCTTTGAACAATTAGCCTAATAGTTGGCTAGAGTAGTGTCCATGATAGCTCTGTCATCGTTGAATTTTCATTTTGGGTTTTGTGTAGTTTATTTAACTTTTAATTGGCAATTGGAACGATTGATTTGGGCACTTTGGAAGCTATTTTGGTTTTGTCTTTTAACAATTAGCCTAATAATTGACTAGAGTAGTCTTCGTGGTAGCTCTGTCTTCGTTGAATCTTCATTTTGGGTTTGGGATATTTATTTCTTTTAATTTTTAATTAATAATTGGAACGATTGATTTGGATATTTTTGAACAAAGCTATTTTGAATTTGTTATATGTTAATTTTAAGATTGTGTATTCGTGCAATAGTGTAATAGTAGTCTCATTTTTACACAATTTTTTAAATACCGTACATCCATTTTTATTTCAAATAAATGTGAAATTTTTCAATCGCGTATTTATATATCAAGAACAAGTATCTTAAAGCAAAATTCTTGGCTTGAAGATTTCCAAAGCTGAGATACAAAATTAATGAATAACAAAAAATATATACAAAATAGGTACTCTATACTAGCTATCATTCAAACAAGAAAATTAATTATTTGAGAAATAGAATTTGAAATAAATATCTTACGAAACAAGAAAGTCATTTTTGGTAATTTCGAAACTTCCAAATTCCAGTTTCGAAAATTCAAAAATTAAGTTCAATATACACCATACACAAAAAAATATACTACGGAAATTCATGAAAAACGAGATCTGAGAAAATTTCCAAACGGTACCGTCGAAAAGTAGAATTCTATCATAAATATCCTTCGTTATCTGGTTACCGATCGCCATAAATGGCGTCGTTACGAAAATCCCGATTGCCTTTCCCGGAAAGAGTCCGGCCAATCGAGTGTTCGTAATGTGTCAATTTTTTAGACGGTACATACCCATGCTCGGGCAACTTTGACATAACGAGTGCCCGTATTAAGCACGATTTCAATCTGGACTTACACGAAGTTCATAATTAAAGCCGTGTACGACACGCAAGTTTCCCCGATAATTCCTCGATGCCCCAAAAGGCGTTTAAATTCCGACAGCTTAACCCTGTTTACACTCGAATATCCTTTTAATTCCACGTGCAGTGTTACATTTTCCAAAAATGTGGCACGCTGTGCATAAACTCAGCCACTGGGCTAACTTTAATAAATACCATACCCCGACGATCCAGTCGACGATAAACACCATACCAGCGCGCCGAAAAAGGAACACACACCCTCGAGATATACTTCGATCCTTTATTTTCTTATTTAACAACACAGTGCTACATTCCCGACCGTAATAACCAGCCAGCCACGAAATTACCGAGAACGATCGCAACCAGAATACGAAAATTTCACGAGAAAAAGGGCTAACGCGAGGACGCTATTAACACGACACAGGTGTGTTTTAAAGGAAGTCCGTCGATCACTGTGGATCGTGTGATCCGAAATCTCTCCAGAGATTGGACCCTCTCCCAGCGAGATAATAATCCGGCGAATGGATGATAAAAATTTATGCGTTAAGTACGCAGCGGCCAAGGCGAGACCCCGGGGTCGGCCATTTTCTCGCGCGGACGCGCGGCGAGCACAAAATGGCGGCCGGTGCAGCGCGTCCCGAGGCGAAATCGTAGTCCTGGGCGGGATTGAGTGGCGTGTTGGCTTTATCGAGAACGCCGAAGGCGGCGTGAGAGAGCAATTTACGTTCAAAGAGGATATGTAAAATGCCGGGAGGGGACCGTTAACGATGTCGTTCGACTTACTTGTAAGATCCGTGAATGTTCTTGCAGGAGCCGTGTCTGCACGGGTTCCTGTCGCATTCGTCGATGTCGTCCGCGCAATTCGGCCCCGTAAAGCCGTGTGCACACGTGCACTTGTAGCTGTCCTCCAGCGACAGACACTCGGCCCCGTTTCGACAAGGCGACGAGGCGCAGTGGTCTTGTCGCTCGCAGTGCTCGCCTGCAACACACAGTGAAAAGGAACGAGTGGTACACACGGAGAGTCTTGCACTTTAACGGTGAAAACCGGCGACCATATCGTACGGGGATCTTGGTCGGGGACCGCGACCATGGTTCAAGAGGAAATTGGTCTCATTCGATGGCTCGGGGGGTTGTTTGCCTTCCTTTTACAATTTATTTCCAATTTTTTTATCGTTTTCCTTGGGTTTGCAAACTTACATTGATATTGGATTGTTTTGGGGAAATTAACCCTTTGCATTCGACGATTTTCTCGTTACAGGAAAATTATAATTCGAAGACTTTCTGTCATAAGGTCGACGATATTTTTGACGCTAGAACTACCAACCCAGTCAAAATGACTGGTCAATAGGAGTTGTACAACAGAATCGAAAATAGGGA